ATGAAAAGTTTTTTTAATAATGAAAGATGCAAATACATGAATGAATATTTTATTGATAATGATTAAGATCTGCTAGAATGGTATATGTTACACTAGCTCTAACTGTTTAAATCTTTAGGAAGCTGTAGTATAGATTGTTGTCAATAAATGTTTTATACCATGGGATTTAAATTTGGTCTTCAATTTTTAATGTATCCAATAATTTGGTGGAGCTTTCTTGCAACACTGGAGTCTCCAAGCAATGGAGAAAAACAGGAAATTTTAAGCAAAAGTGACGTGGAGAAAACCAGACTTTAGGAAGATTAGCCTGAGAAAATGTTGCATAAATTGGCAAAGAAATGACTAGATTCTCCCTGGACTGAAACCACCCTCATTAGCCAACCCTTAGCATTTTCCTATCATCCCCATCAGCATTCCAGTGACACTCCAACTCTTTTGTTCTATCTAAATTCATATTTGCCTCAGTCCTATTGGGGAGCAGCAATTTGTATAAGCTAGTTTTAAAGAACTACAGACTGAATTTCTTTTCACTCCTGCCCCTGACTTTTCCACAAGATATATGAACGTGAAGTTTAAAGCTGCTCTCCAGCTCTCGGCGGTAGTAACTGCATTCCCTATTACTGACACTATCTTAGCATCAGTGGAGAATATACGAGGCTGCCAGCTCTTTCTTCTCTTCTGTCTTTGATCACTGCTCCTCTAAATAATATAAGAGATTTTCAGGATTGAGCTTTAGTGTCAATTTATCATAAAAGAAGCACTGTTGCTTGTTATTGGTTCAAGCTGCATTCCTACGGAGGCCTATTTTTGTATCAAAATTATTACCAACCTGGTAAATGATGAGGTTTTAGTGTTTTCAAATGATGTTGCATCACGGGGAAAAATCCATCCAAAGAATACATTTAAGGCATCAAGCCTTTGAAAGTTCTCTAGACTAAGCAATCTCTAGTTTCCCACCTCCAGACTGAATGTGAGAAGATTCTTTTAATTTAAGCTTTTAAGTTTCTATTCAGTTCCCTTAGCAGAAGGTAGGGAGGGGAGAAAGACAGAAGCTTCCAAGGAGACCTGTATCTCTTTTGCATAAGAGGAACCAACCAGTAGTATTAGTTTAAACTATACATCTTTACAAACTAGTCTATGTGAGAGCTTTCAACCTAACCTCATATGACACCAAACTCTGAGTTCCCTGTAACTTTTAAATAACAACCGTTAACGTGAAAATGAAAATGACTAAATAATGGAGACCTCCATAATAATGGAGTATTATCATTATTATAAAAGGACACAAGGTAACAGTCCTTTTCTACCTAGGAGATACAGAGGAGCAAACTACTGTTAGGGTTTTTATTAATTTTTAGCGACTCTTTCCTTTCCTCCTCCCTTCCTCCATTTTGTTAAAAGATAAACTGAGGTATATTAAAAAGGTCAAGTGTTTATTTCAGAGGTCAACATTTATTTCAAAAGTCAATTTGAATTGGATAGCACCAAACCAGAAGTGGTTAGTTCACCTACAGTAGCTCAGAGAGACTTTATTATAGAGAAAAGATGGAAGCAAAGTAATTTTTGATTGGCTATGGCTTGAAGTCTAGTTGGCTATTTGTGATTGGTTGTTCAAATCATTTCGATTTTGTAACCTTGAAGCATTTATGATTCACATTTTGGTTCTCTTATACTGGCTTCCAGGGCATTACAGCCACGTTAGGCTAATGGCCTCCTTGTTTAATTAGTTTAATCCTTCCTTCTTTCCATAACATTAAGCATTGAAGATTTCCTAAGAAGGACTCTCCACCAGGGAGTGCAGAAACAAGTTAGCATATAGATTTCGAGATGTATCCTCACCACACAAACTCATTGCTCTGTTCATTATGCCACCTAAGAAAATTCACTTCTCATTCAGACTAACCTCCATCTGGTCTAAACAGCATCTCAGCTGGTGTTGCTTTCTGTCTAATGAGAAAGAACCTCAAGGTATATATGGTTATGGATTTTCATGTATTTTTGTCAGCTCATTAAACACTGAAATTTTTCTACAATTCAATGAAGGGAAGAGCTAAAGAAGTTAATTCACCATTCTTGTATTCTTTCATTTTTATAATGTTTTAAAACTGCTTTAAATGCTTTGTGTATCCAGATTGATAAAATGCTTAAAATCAAATTTCTACTAATTCACCTACCATTTAGTAACAATCAAATTGTCTATAAAATGCATTTTAGAACTGGAAAGTCAGCAAGTGCATTATTTAAACCATCTAAAGATATAATTTTGGTAGAAAGATACTATTTGGGAAGGGTTGAGATTTATTAAAGTATTGTTTTTCATTTACCACAAAGTTTGAAAGCTGTGAATTTGGAATATTCTCAGCAGAAAAAGAATGAAAAAAAGGCATTGTTTAAAAGAAGAGCTTGGGTGTTGGGTGGAATTTAAAACGTGGTTTGAATTTGATTTGTGACCTCAAGAAATAAGGAAAAAAAATCTAGTGTTGGCTTCTAATCAGTAAGTAATTCACACTTCAGACACCTTAGCTGATCCTTGGTGGACTGGATATCTTTGAACAGATTCCTAAGGTCTCATTAGAGCTTTATCTTCCTAAAAGTGAAATTGTTTGCCAGATATGAAAGAGAAGGCACAGAAGGAGCACTGGGGAATATGTGGTCGGCAAGTAAGTTCCCAACTGATCAAAGACTTTAAATGGGGCTAATTGGTATATGGAAAAATGCATTACATCCATAAAAAAGTCTAAAACTTAGATACAGTGTAGGATAGTACATGACTACTATAATAGCAGAAGAGAGGTTTTTTTTCCCATATATTGTCAGATAACAATATCAGGAAGTCTAAGAGGAAAAAATTAATTTCTCATCATCTTTGAATATATGCCAATCTATAGACAAGGCAGTAAAGTCAACTTGATATTTTGAACAAGGAAGTAAATTTTATCTCATATCCTCTGAAACTTGTTGACAAGATTCATGTTTATCATGAGGCAATGGAATATATAATCTCTTCTAAAGATATAGTTTTGGTAGAGAGATATTATTAAGGATAGCAAGATTCTCTGCTGCCACCGCCACAACAGAAACAAGCCATTTGGCCAACAGACCTAAGAAGGTTTTTTTGACCTACTGATATTTCCATGACCCTGGATTAGGTAATGTCCCATAGCAAAGCTTACAGAGAGGTGATTTCACAAAAATTTTATTACTATCTGCCAATAATTCCTGAGCCTCCTCTCAATATAACCTTCTACCAATACGACCTTGTCACTATATATGGATATGAGGAGTCAAGGGAAAAACCTCGCTGAAAAACCATCTTTCATATTCTAAACAGTCCATGGCAAGAGTCCTTTATTCTCCATGCCTACTCCCAGCAATTAAAAAGATATTTAGAAAATAGGGCAAAAGATAGCTCTTTCTTTCTCTGCTGTAGCCTTGTTTATGAAGTGTATGAGGGCAAAGGATTCAGGGCAAGAATGGGAAGAGGATTTGACTGATCATGTTTGTTTGTAAGAAGCATTATAATCCAGTTAAATGGGAAGAAAAAGTAAAAGAATAGCCAGTTAAATATAATATCTTACATTTTCTAAAAAATGAAGGAATTAATAAAAATTAAGTCCTTAGCAGAGCATGCGCCATAGTAGACACACAACAAATGAGAGCTTCCTACCCCCATTTCCCTTTTTCAGATACAGTCTCCAAAATGAACAGAGGCAAGAAGTGTCAACACTGAAAAATTAAAACAAAAAAAACTGAAATTCCTAACTTTTTGATATTTACAATATCACCAAAGACCAAAGAAGTAATACCACAGAAAAGTCTATATGGGATATTATTTTGTAAACAAGCAAAACAAAACAGATTAAAAGTACAGGAGGTTACTAGGAAGTGATAAGGTTAACTAGGAATTCATAATGAAAAAAGATAATAACACTTAATGGCTGGACTTATAAATAATAGAGTAAAAATATGTGACTTTAGAATTAGGAAGACCTGGACAATTTCATCTCTTGAGTGGAAGTTTTTTTTCAGCGAAATAAAAATGCCACTTACTGATCAAATGAGTTTGATATTAGGAAGAGGATCTAAGTACTGACTGGTTTGTTGGTCATGAACAAGCTAGAATACAAGCAAAATAGATAATTGAAGATGAATAGAAAGTTGTCTACACAAAATTTAAGGAGTATCATGGTGTTAGGTTTCAGAAAATCTGTTGGAAAGGGGTTTATATAGATCATGATGCAGCTGAAAATCATATTGATGGATTTGACAGGATAATATCTGAACAAAATAAATGGTCAAGATGTTTAGGTTTTGCTCTATGCAATTTTTTCTGTTTTGTTTTTTTAATTCATCATTATCACTGAACCATCAACAACTTACCTTTCTCTTTTTTTAAGTCTTACCTTGTGGTGGTTCCAACACCCTACCCTTAGGTAGCATGCTTCATAGATGTATAACACTGAAGCATCTAGAGTTAAAGCCACTCTTCATGCTATTGATATTGATAGAGGCTTCCCTTTCTTCTTCCCACTGTTCACCACAGGTGGCATTTTACCCCTCTGTCATTTCTTAATGCAATTATATCCAATTACACAAGACAACAAAAAAGTGACAACACATCCATTCTCAGAAAAGCCATGTGGGATATGGTCGTGGCACTGAATACAACTAATGGCTTACATCAGTCCAGGATAAAAGGGAACGCAACAACTTTAAGAAAAACTTTACTGGTTCAGACTTTAATCTTTTAGGTTTTGAGGATTCTGGGATACTGTTTAAACAAAACTATTTAAATGTCTAGGTTCAAATGAGTTATATTTCATGGGCTGAAATAATTTGCAGATGCCATTTATGTCACTCTTTAGTATATCTAAAAATTAAGGATATTTAAAGATGATTAAGACCAGAAATTAAGGAAAATTCCAATCTCCAAATGGAAGAAAAGTACATAGCAGACAAACAGCTACAGAACAAATGAATTTTGCATTTCAGAGACTTACTGATCACTGCTTAGCCCCAGGACTCTTCTTAAATTATTTGTCCTTCATTAGCAGACCCAAGACTTGAAATCCATGTGCTCTGACTCTACTCCCTCACTCTGAGCTGCAGGTTCAAACAGGTCCTAGGTCAGAGAGAAAACACACTACAGTAGGCACAGGGGTGCTCATACAGTCATAGCAAACTGCCTGCTTCATCCTCCCTGCTTTTTCCTTTGGATTGTTACACCATTACAATGTGGAAGCAATGAGTAAATTATTCCATATCTTGGAGAATAAAATAGTTAAACGTGTACTAAACAATTGTTTCCTTTATGGGCTTTTGCATGCTACCCAGTGTTGAATAACAGTGACAGCCCTAAATATGCTGTTACCTTTTTTTATATCAATAACTTAAATAAAAACATAAAACAACATTTATAAAGTATGTAAATGACACCAAATTATAAGACATGACTAAATAAAAACTGGACCAAAGTAATAACATTTAATGAGGATAAATGTTAATGTTATTTGGTCCCCAAAAATGTAGGTAAACTCATTAATGTGAATAAATAATTTAGCCCAGGATTATTCCAGACAAGTTAATGCCCTTAACAGTATCTTCAGTCAGTAATTTTACACTTTTAAACCATTGGTGACAGCTCATTATTGCCAAAAGCAGCCTATGCCACTTTTGAAAAAAAATCTGAAAGACAATTCTTCCTAATATGGAGTTCAATTTTGCCTTATTTTAAAATACATCAATTAGCTTTATTTCTGCCTTTGTAGCAGCTTTTTAAAGAGAGCTCTCAAAAGAAATAGCTATCAAGTAATTTCTTCTTTATGCTGCCTTCCCCCTTCCTTTGACAGTCCTCACAGAGTTAGTGTAGGAAGATAGCCAGACATGAGCAGGGAATGGGGGTGGGAACTTGGCCAGCCGTTGTACACACGTAGTTGGTGGTTATGTTTTATACATTCCATGTAAGCTGTTCTCTCAGGATGTGGGGAGTGAGAATGTAGGTAACAGACCAGCCGAAACCAGCTAGTTCCAATGTGGAGAAAAAGTTAACTCAAACTTCACCCCAAAGCTCAGCATACTCTCATTACCCCGTGACACTGATGCCAGAGTTCTTGTTTGTTGAGTCGAAGAATGAAATTAGCAAACAGTCAAAAGTAGGAGAGCCAGGGAGACTTCTATTGAGAGATATAGTGAGAGAATAGAGCTCCTGGCTCACACCAGGAGGGGACAAGAGAGTCTGGGGTGGTGCATTGTCTAGGGGATTTATAGACAGTTGAGGATTTTGGGGAACTGAGGGCTTAGGGTGTGGACTTGTACCACCTGCCCTGCCCCTAAGTTGGGCTGGGTTGTTGTTTGTTTGCTAGGGCTGTTTCCAGTGAACTCACAGGTTATGCTGAGATACCCATGCAGAACACTCAAACATTCCTGGCCTTTTGACATTTAACTGATCTCACTGAAGATGTCTATATTTCTAGTACAGTATCTTTACCCTAGAGAATTAGTGTGACCTTGACTTTGCATAATGCTGAACACAAAGTTTCCATAGGGACTTTACATTGTTACATTGCTTTGACTGTAAATACCTTCTCTTGCTTTTTCCGGAGGCCCTCACCCTACTCTGTCTAAGCCCATGGTCCCTGTCTCAACACTAATTAGCATGGTGATTTGACGCCCCTTGTGGGGGAAGACTGCCATGACAATTCCAGTGAGAACCAAATATAGCCCAAACCGCCCCCAACCCACCCATGGTGAGGGTGAAGCAAGCCTTAACTCCAAGAATACTCTGCCTGCTCCCTTTAAAACCTATTCCCACTTAAATATTCATCTCTCTTTACATAAAAAAGCTCCCTACTGTCTCCTCAGTATGACTCCCTCAGGGCTCTGCCCAGATTCACTCTCGTGCATGTACTTCCTCATTTTTTCAACTTGTATTTCCCAACTCCTAAAACGCAACCAAATTTGTGTTCATCCTTGCTTTCTTCCACAAAGACGGAGAACCCCTAACAATAGGACAATACCTTAAATCCCTAACTATTCTATAGTGTATCAATTTGTCTTAAAGTGTAGGATGCTGAAATTAACATACTCTTGGTGTGAGCTTCTAAGCACACAATAGAATGCTTATTTTATGTCCCCTCTTTGAACACTTTCTCTATAAATACAGTCTTTTGCTACACAAAGGCAGGTTAGGAAAGTAAAAGGGAATACATATGTGAGAATGTCTGAAGTTTTTAACTGATTTCAAGCTGCTAAAAAACAAAATTTAAGCAAGTAAATTTGAGGATCTAATTGGTTTTATTAAGCAATTCATGAATCAGGCAGCATCCCATCTAGCAAGTAGAGAAATGCTCCAAAGTGGAAGGTTTTTATAGACAGGAGGAAGGGGCATACCATTATTAGCTAGGAGATCAGGAATTGTTTCAGGTAAGGTCACCATCTCTTAGGAGGAGCTGGGGATCTCATGCAGATGACCTCACTAAGAAATTCCAAATTGGATGGTTTAAATTCCCACTCCTGGGAGAGGCTGAAAGTGCAATTAGACCGGGCATAAGCCCCAGTCTGGTGACTGGGCCTAGGAGAACTGACCCCATGTTGGGCCAGTGTTTTTCTTTTTAACAAAGCTTATGAAGAGGAGCAAAACATTTCTCTTTGGCATAGGGTTTATCTTGAGCTGATTCTTTTTAGTAACCACAGACATAGGAAAAGCTCTGAAAATCAAGTGCAAGTTACCTTTTGAGGACTTATTTACATTAATAAGGGAAATCTGCCTCTCTGTACTTGGAAGACTAACACTGAATCTCCAGAAACTTATCAATGGAGAAGGCAAGGACTTAGAGCTGCGTAACAATCACACCCTTGTTTACTGTGCTTTAACTGAAAATCTCTCCAAATTGGCTCCCCCATCCCCTATATCTTTCTTTTTATTTAGCTGGGGATCATAATGAAGATAACGGGTTGGGCCATTTCAGAGACTTACTCAATTTTCCAGGTCTCTACCATGTAATAGAGTAGGTACACGTTATTAAACATCTGTTTGCCTTTTGAAGCATGACACCTGGAAGAGAATCCTTTATTATGGTCATTCCATAAGGCAGAACTAGATGAATGGATGAAAGCTACAGAGAGGCAGAATTTGAAATAGCTCCTCTGAGACATGGTAAATTCATAGTCACTGCAAGTATTCAGGTAGAGGTGGATTTCTGCTTAGCAAGAATGTGTTATGCATTCAAGCAGTAGGTGCCACTTTGAGTAAATCTCTAATTTCCCTTCAAAAGCTAAGCTGCTATGGTTACTAATACCAAAATCCCCAAATTCCATCAGTACAAGAGAAAACTAGGTATTTGGTAGTTAGATAACATAGAGGCAGTAAAAGAAAGCTATACATTTGTCATGCAACATTCCTGTAAATCACAGAAGAAAGTGTCCTGGGCTTGTCCGCACCATTAGTCCGTCCTTCCCCATGGTCCGCTCTGATGATTCCCTCTGGCAGGTAATTTCCTACCAACCTCTTCTAAGACTTTTGACCACTCTGTCCTTGTGTCTGATGCTCCCAGAAGCTCCAATTGAGGGAAGCAACAGGGAGGACCATTTAATTTCCTCAAGTAATTATCTAACTATTCTGACCTCTGGAAGCCCTTCTGATTTTCTATATTAACTTTTAATTTTTTGATAAAATATTATATGTCATTTAAATCACTAAGAAAAATTATGTGTTACTATACATCCATACATGTATTTAATCAAGCATATACAAACATTAGTCTCAAATGTCACTCTGAAGTCATTTCTCAAAGCAGGCAAAAGGCAAGATTTTTCACTTTTCTATTCTTATTTGTGAATTAGAAATTAGCAAAATTGGAATTTAGTGGTTAAAAATTGTAAGAAACTAAGCAGATGATAAATTGGGTAGGCCAGTGAAGAATAAAAGTTCTGAGAAACACTCATGTACCTAAAAGACAGTGTTTTAACATATATATGTATGTGTGTGTGTTTGTGTGTGTGTGTATAACAGACATCATTATATATACTAATTTTTAAATATTACTTGCTAAAGAAATATCACAGTTTGTACTTAATATACCTGTTTTTTTGTTTTAAAATTATGGTTTGGTGTGAAACAAGTATTGAAGGTACTTCTTTCTTCTTTCCAGTAGAAAAGAAAAAAAAGAACTGCAATAATAAGTAGTTATTAGATTTAACATTAATGATGTAAGAGTCTTCATAAGGTGAGAAAAGCTGAAGTCATTATTATAAGTGTCCTTTCTCTCTCTAAGCATCTTACCCATGTCTTGGTCTGTAATTAATAAGAAGACAATAAAGATTATAATTAATAAGGACACAATCCATATAAAGAGGAGTACTTATGGAGACAGATTTTTGGTTACCTGACCATCAAACTTCCAAAAGTGTGTACTGGTGAAAAATACTGGAGATGTGAGGTATAAAAGGGAAGCGGAGAACTGAGGAATGATTTTCACATTCTGACAGCTCTGCTTTGCTTATTTAAGCCAACAACAAAGGAAAATGCCACTGTTCTGCTCAAACATCTCAGCTAACAGGTGTTCTCTGGATGAACAATTATTTAATTCTTATTGGGATGGTCAGTAAGACAACAGAACATGAAACTGGGTTAGTTAGTGAAAAAGTTGGCTGTTGTGAAATCCATGCGCTCATATTTTGTTTCTAAGACTGTGTGTCAATAGTGCACTCTCAATTGAATTAGTAAATTTAAATGAATTTTACTGAAATGCTGACTCACCAAATAATTTTGTGCAATGACATAGATTGTTTGCCTTTGATATATTTGATGAAACAGTGACACTAAGTGATCTGGGTTCCATTAAACAGAAACATTTTCCAGAACAAACACAACAAAGAGAAATAAGAAAATCTGAAAAGGGACTTGTAATGAACCTGAGATTCATCAAGGTGAAACTCATCACTTTAGTGACAGGAATGGCTGTGTACACACTTAACATCTAAAATTACTGGAATTTGTTAAGCAGGGGCTACTTTTGTTAGCTCAGAATAGAATCATCCTGGATACCTGTGGCAAAAACTTAGAGATTTTTTTAAATACCAGTAACTATTTATACGTGACATCATTGTTTATATTCTTATGAAAAAGAAAACAGGAAAAATAAAGGAATATCTGCTAATATTCTATTCAAAATTAGTAAGGTAGAAGCCTGCAGCCTTATTTTCCACATAGCATGATCAACAAGGTAAGATCCTGAAGCTAAATTATGTTCTAAGCACACTGCAAAATAGTATAGAACATCCAGAACATTAGTCTCATCTATGCACTTTTCACTTTACCTCTGCTCCTTCTCTTGTCTCCTCCAAGTCCTGAATGCTTGTGATGTGTGGCAGAATCTGTTCAAAGCCAGAAGCACATGTCTGTTCACTGAAGCACATTACAACATCCTCAGAGACCTCTACTGCCTCTCAGTTCCCTTCTGAAACCATTACCAAATATTCCTTCTACCTCTTGACTCTTTCAGCTCCAATTTTGCTTCTGCTAATTTCATCCCCAGACAAGCACAGACCATGATCTAGTGGTTAGAGCATGAGGTGTGGCAGGAGCTCATTGGGTGTCTTCTGTTTCCTGCGTGGCCCTGGGTGAGTTACTTAGCCTCCATTGCCCCCACATGAACCTGAGTCTTAATAATACCCACCTCACCAGGGGTTATGAGAATTCATTAATAAACTATCATTATCAGTCTTCATTATGCACCTGTGTGCAACCCAAAACAATCCCTCTTGTTCTAATTGAGCAGTACAGTGTGTGTTTTTTCCTGTGGTTTTATTTTTTATGTGTGGGGAGGGACTATTGTGTGTTCTCTCTACTCCTGCTCAAGACAGCTATTAGGACCAGACTATGTCGTCTGGGTAATTTGGCTTAGTGGAATTTTTTAAGTCATGAGGCAACCTAGATGCTGACACTGAGAAATTAAAATGATGATTATTAGGCTGGGTTCCCATCCATTGCAAGCCGATGGGCTCATTTTTCTCTCTTTAAAACTGCCAGCTACCTGGCCCCTTTGCTTCTCAAAGCAGCAAAGTTTTAAAGAACCAAGGAACATTATCCAAGCCACAGTGCAATAACTCTAATAAACTGCACCTGTGGATGACTCTCTGGTTTATTTATATACTGTATCACAGGTCATTAACAGAAAATAACCCACTGAGATACAACATTCTTGTTTACAGTGAGGTTCTGGTGGTGACAGCAGGAATATAAAACACAAAATCAACAGGGAACACTGAACTAATAAAAAGACAAGGGTCTATAAAGCATAGAAAAAAACAAAGCCAACTGTGCAGGCAAAAATAAAATAAAATAAACTTCCATCATAAAACAATCAAAAGCTATGGTATATTTATAGAGACCAGGGAACCCAAAGACCCACAGAGCTGGAATATTTATGGGTGTCAGACTGGAAGTCAGGAAATCTGTGTGCTGTTGAGAGTGAAGGCTTGATCAGTTGGATATACCCGTAGGAAAACAGATTTGTTTCCCTTTCTTCTGGTTATCCTTATCAAACCTTCCAGCCAATAAGCCTTCAGATATCTTGGTTATTGGGTTCTGGAATTAACCTTTCAAAAAGTTAATGTATGTTGACTTTAGAAGACGCTTGCTATGAGATTTTTATGCTAAAAAGTAAAATTTTGATGACACTATCACTCTTATACCACTTTTCTACCTTTATTGCTAAGAACTGTGGAGACTTTCTTTACAAGCTGCCGATCACTGGTAGGTAGTATAATTTTAGGTTTTTTGAGACCATTCACCTTGATAAAGTTTCCCTGCTCCTGAATCACAGTATTTGAACTTTCATAATTTTGTATTTAATGCTGTATCCCTCTAACTACTCATTTCTTAAATGTGTACACTTTGAAGATGAATAATGCAAAATTCACAACAAACGTTATTACAATAAGTATTTAGGTGATTCTGGAAGAAAAGGAAAAGTGTAAGGAAATGAAGGAAGGTAGAAAGGGAAGGAGGGAGACAGAGAGAAAGGAAGACATGAGAGTTGGACTCTGAAAAACATGCATTTTACTCCTCAATCATTCCTAAGACTAGTTTAATCATAGCCCTTTCAATGTGGATATCCTGAAAGGCAGAGAAATACTTTCAAGTGGCAGTGATGCAAACAACACTTGATTTTAATCAAATTGTCTAGAGAGTTGTTGCATGACAATTCTTAATTATGTCCAAGACCACCTGAAGTTAGTCTTACTGCTTCCAGGTTTCTGTATTTTTGCCTCTTCATCACAGGTATCTAGTTCTTTAAAAATATTTATTTCCTACTGCATACAAAGTAAAACAACAAATGAAAAGAATAAAATAGGCCCTGTCTTATAGGAATTTGTCATCTATTAAGAAAGTAAATGCCATGAAGGCATAGACTGTTTTTTCACTACTGTATCTCCAGCACTTTGAATAATGCCAGGCACATGGCAAATAATCAAATGTGTTAATGAATAAGTAAATGAACAAAACAGAAGAGAAATGACATTAGGGCATAGAAATCTAAGTATAAAGAGACTGTATATAAAAAGTCTAGTTAAGTGTCACATATAATTGCTAAAAAAACAATAGCTGTTAACTTTTTTTGAAATGGAAGCTAATATTATTGGACAAGTATTTCTGTAGGAAGTAGCAACATCCTGGCTCAACAAGAGAAGGTTGCTTTAGGGTGGATAAAGATTAGCAAGGGAAAGCAATCTAAGTAGAGAAAAAAATCATATTATCTGGAGAATGAGATTAGAAATCAAAAATCCATAGTACCTCATGCAGGTAAGTTTTACTAATATCTATAGAACAATCATTAATCAGCCATCTCCAATATTGGAAGTCTTTATAAAATGCCATTTTTAAGATGATACAGAATCTTTAGCTAATAAAAGCCACAGATACTGAAAATAGGCCAATCCTTATAAATTCATTAATTATTTACATGCAACTTTGGATCCTACTTAAGGATGGCCTCAGCTTTGTAAGATTAGAAGGGATCATTCATGCTGACTTGTGGTAATCTTTTCTTCACAGTTTTGAGAGTAATAAACCCTGATGGTGTCCATTTAAACAAAAAAGACCCAGAAAAACTTATTTCAGTGCACCAGGGTGAGGCAGCTAACCAATAGTAGTCCCAGCAGCTACCATAGAAACTGGAAAACTGCAAGCACTCAATACATTTGAATAAATGAAGGATCAACCAATTCAAACTGCTTTCCTTTACACAAGAGGAAATCGAAGCCCAGGGCATTTATGTGACTTGCTCTGAGTCATAGAGCTTGTTGGTGGCCACGTTAGGCCAACCCTTCCAATTCTTGGTCCAGTGTTTGGCCTACTTTCCTCTGTTTCTTTCAATTTATAGTTATTCCATTAAAGGGACTGGCCCCACCTGCAGCTGCTTTCCAGATATTTTCCTGATTTGAGTCTTTAGCCATGAGACATACACCTTTATTCCTGTTTCTACTGAGAGAGGAACTGGCATCCGTGAGCTTGTTTTTAAGGAGGAAATCATTCTGAGTTGAAACACAGCCAGACTAAGGAAGTCCTGCTGTGTCTGAAGGAAGTTCACTCATCCTTTGCAAATGCTCTAGAAGGAAGAAAAAAATAATTCTTGTCTCTGCAGTTTTAGCTAGCAAATATTGGGCAACAATCCATTGGATTATTTCCTATGCACCTGTATGTAAATAATCCAAATGGAACTGATTAACATTTAAATTCTAAGTTACTGAAGTATCCAAGGGGAAATTGATTAGATTGACTTGATTTGGTGCCAATATGGTAAATGTCTTAATGTTTTAAACAAATCGAGGCAGCAATCTGTGATGATTTTGAAACATCACTTTTTTTAAATCCTTATTTTGAAATCCAGAAGTACCCTATCACAAAGTTTGTTTTATATCTCCTTCATATCAAATAAATTTTTACATTTATTTTTATAGTCATGAAGATACTAGCAATGGGTCACCAACTGTGATCCTCTGGTGGATTATTTCTGACCCAAATGGCTGTTTTTGTCATTTGAAGAAACTAAATGCCTTTGGGGCTCAATGTGTTTGGAAAACATGTAAATGATGGTTTTCCCTTTTCAATCTAGGAGTGACAATTCAGGAAGCCCTTCATTCACATCATCTGTAGTGTAACAGCATTTTAATTTAGAGTGAACCTTTTTGCTTAGCTCGTATATATCGTGCGCATTTTAAGAGAAACTATTTACAGAGAAGTATAGAAGTCCCTAGGGATGCAACATCTTATTTTCAATTCTGTTGGCAGGCATACTAATTACATGATCACATATTCAGCAGCACTCAGCAAAGTTATTTATTCATTCATCCTTAAGACCTGGGAGGCCTAGCAGGTAAGTTTCAATATCAGTACCTTCAGAATCCTTGCTGATCATACACACAGATAATTAGGTCGGGAGTTGTGAGAAAAATCTCACCCCAAAAAGCTTAGCCTCAGAGATTTGCCTGATTCCTCATTCTTAGTGAAAGAGAAAATTCAATAGTTGCTAGAAATGAAGAAACATTTATCACCCAACTCTCTCATCTCCACAGGATCTGGTTTCTTAATTGAAGCTGGATTTTAGTCCACAGATTAGCAAATTCTTATGTCCAAGCACACCTGAAGTTAGTCTTATTGCTTCCAGGTTTTTGTATTTTTGACTCTTCAATACAGGTATCTAGTTCTTTAAAAATATTTATTTCCTACTTCATACAAAGTAAAACAATAAATGAAAAGAATAAAATGGGTGATATTGAAGTCAGGGTGAATCGTCTTCTAAGCAAATTGTCCTCAATATGGTAAAAATATGCAGAATTTACATTTGGAAAAATTTTTGCCCCTCAATGATTTTGAAAGTGAATATCCTTGCTTAACATCACATGCTTTTGAAAAATTTTTAATAATTATTGCTTAACAATTACTACATATGTCAGATTTTTCCTTATAGGATTAACTCAAAGATGTAGAGAAAATGAGTACCTGACAATCATTAGTCCTTGGAAAAAGATAGTTCTGTAACATACAAATAATACAATCCCAGAAATTGCCTAGTTTCACAAACTAATGCTTACTTTGCTATCATGCCTAGTTTGTAGCAGTCAAACCTGCCTCCTAGTCTATCTCAGTCAAAATGTGGAGAAAAATTAAAGTTGTCACAGACCACAGAGCACATTCCAGGTGGGGTCATTATAGTTGCTTTTGTATTAGGTTTGGAGTTTCTACATTTTTGTCTCAAGGATTTGTGAATGACCTTGGACCAGATGCAACATCTGGGCTGGATCCCACCCAATCCTGTGTCCAAGCATACCTTCCCTTTAATATAGGAAAATTCTATGTTCTCTCCCTACCATATGGGCTAATGTAAATTCTGATGTAGGAAAGGAGTTTCATTTTCAAAGTGTTGTTACAAACTCAGTGTCAAAAATGCAACTGGAAG